ATGCCTGCTGGACTGTTCCTTTACACGGTACCCCATCCTGTTTATCTTTCCTGTTTATCTGTTTAGCCTCAGCCCAAACTTTCGTCGCCATTACCAGTTGTTGTCTTAGCTCTCTCGAATAACACCTGTGATTGCTTTATGCCTCTCTCCCATGTCAATATGCCTTGCCTATTGCTGTTTCGGTTAGTTCTTATTATACAATTTCATTGTAGAGCCCCCAGTCCCGCTCAGCCTGCCTCAGATAGCTCCTTTGTCCCACCCCCCATACACGCGGAGACCGGCTCAATCGGTGCCTCCAGTGATGCTTTCTCTTTCATCGTTACCCAACGCTTAGGTTTACCTCCACTGTACTCATATCCTTCCATATCCTTGTCTGTATATAATGCCCTGAATCTATTCTACAACGCCCGGAAATCTGCCCCTTTTATTCTCTGTACCCAACGAACTAGAAGACCAGTTCTTAAAGCCTTTAGCCGTATCCTTATTCTACTCCTCCTCTGTTCCTCTGGTGATGTAGAGGTTAACCCAGCCCCTGTAGCCCCCAGTATCACTCCTACTCCCCAGGTGCTATCATTTGCTGACTTTTGTAACCGTAAAAACCTTGGTTTCTTGCATGTTAACATCAGAAGTCTCCTCCCTACGTTTGAGTTATTCACTGCGTTAGCACACTCCGCCAACCCTGATGTTCTAGCAGTGTCTGAATCCTGGCTTAGGAAGGCCACCAAAAAATCTGAAATGTCCATCCCCAACTACAAAATGTTCCATCTTGATAGAACTGCCAAAGGGAGCGGAGTTGCAATTGACTGTAGAGATAGCCTGCAGAGCTCTATCATACTATCCAGGTCTGTGTCCAAACAGTTTGAGCTTCTACTTCTAAAAATCCACCTTTCCAGAAATAAGTCTATCACTGTTGCCGCTTGCTATGGACCCCCCTCAGCCCCCAGCTGTGCCCTGGACACCATATGTGATTTGATTGCCCCCCATCTATCTTCAGAGTTCGTACTGCTTGGTGACCTAAACTGGGATATGCTTAACACCCCGGCCATCCTACAATCTAAACTAGATGCCCTCAATCTCACACAAATTATCAAGGAACCTACCAGGTGCAACCCTAAATCCGTAAACATGGGCACCCTCATAGATATCATCCGGACTATTTTACCCTCTAAATACACCTCCGCTGTCTTCAACCAGGATCTCAGCGATCACTGCCTCATTGCCTGCGTCCGTAATGGGTCCGCGGTCAAACGACCACCCCTCATCACTGTCAAACGCTCCCTAAAACACTTCAGGGAGCAGGCCTTTCTAATTGACCTGGCCCGGGTATCCTGGATGGATATTGACCTCATTCCATCAGTAGAGGATGCCTGGTTGTTCTTTAAAAGTGCTTTCCTCTCAATCTTAAATAAGCATGCCCCATTCAAAAAATTCAGAACAGAAACCCCTGGTTCTCCTCAGACTTGACTGCCTTTGACCAGCACAAAAACATCCTGTGGCGTACTGCATTAGCATCAAATAGCCCCCGCGATATGCAACCTTTCAGGGAAGTTAGGAACCAATATACACAAGCAGTTAGGAAAGCAAAGGCTAGCTTTTTCCAACAGAAATTTGCATCCTGTAGCATTAACTCCAAAAAGTTTTGGGACACTGTAAAGTCCATGGAGAATAAGAGCACCTCCTCCCAGCTGCCAACTGCACTGAGGCTAGGAAACACTGTCACCACCGATAAATCTACGATAATCGAGAATTTCAATAAGCATTTTGCTATGGCTGGCCATGCTTTCCACCTGGCTACCCCTACCCCGGCCACCAGCTCTGCACCCTCCGCTGTAACTTTCCCATGCCCCCCCCCCCCCCCCCGCTTCTCCTTCACCCAAATTCAGATAGCTGATGTTCTGAAAGAGCTGCCCCGTGTAGCTCAGTTGGTAGAGCATGGTGCTTGCAATGCCAGGGCTGTGGGTTCGTTTCCCATGGGGGGCCAGTATGAAAAAATGAATGCACTCACTAACTGTAAGTCGCTCTGGATAAGAGCGTCTGCTAAATGACTAAAATGTAAAATGTAAATGTAAAATCTGGACCCCTACAAATCAGCTGGGCTAGACAATCTGGACCCTTTCTTTCTAAAATGAGCCACAGAAATTGTAGCAACCCCTATTACTAGCCTGTTCAACCTCTCTTTCGTGTCATCTAAGATCCCCAGAGATTGGAAAGCTGCCGCGGTCATCCCCCTCTTCAAAGGGGGTGACACTCTAGATCCAAACTGTTACAGACCTATATCCATCCTGCCCTGCCCTTCGAAAGTATTTGAAAGCCAAGTTAACAAACAGATCACCGCCCATTTCGAATCCCACCGTACCTTCTCCGCTATGCAATCTGGTTTCCGAGCTGGTCATGGGTGCACCTTAGCCACGCTCAAGGTCCTAAACGATATTATAACCGTGATCGATAAAAGACAGTACTGTGCAGCTGTCGTCATAGACCTGGCCAAGGCTTTCGACTCTGTCAATCACCGCATTCTTATCAGCAGACTAAATAGCCTTGGTTTCTCAAATGACTGCCTCGCCTGGTTCACCAACTACTTCTCAGATTGAACTCTATGTGTCAAATCGGAGGGCCTGTTGTCTGGACCTCTGGCAGTCTCTATGGGGGTGCCACAGGGTTCAATTCTCGGGCCGACTCTATTCTCTCTGTATATCAATGATGTCGCTCTTGCTGCTGGTGACTCTCAGATCCACCTCTACGCAGACGACACCATTTTGTATACATCTGGCCCTTCATTGGACACTGTGTTAACAAACCTCCAAACGAGCTTCAATGCCATACAACACTCCTTCTGTAGCCTCCAACTGCTCTTAAACACTAGTAAAACTAAATGCATGCTCTTCAATCGAACGCTGCTTGCACCCGCCCGCCCGACTAGAATCACTACTCTCGGCGGGTCTGACTTAGAATATGTGGACAACTACAAATACCTAGGTGTCTGGTTAGACCATAAACTCTCCTTCCAGACTCACATTAAGCATCTCCAATCCAAAGTTAAATCTAGAATCGGCTTCCTATTTCGCAACAAAGCCTCCTTCACTCATTCTGCCAAAAATGCCCTCGTAAAACTGACTATCCTACCGATCCTTGACTTCGGCGATGTCATTTACAAAATAGCCTCCAACACTCTACTCAGCAAATTGGATGTAGTCTATCACAGTGCCATCCGTTTTGTCACCAAAGCTCCATATGCTACCCACCATTGTGACCTGTACGCTCTCGTTGGCTGGCCCTCACTACATATTCGTAGCCAAACCCACTGGTCTCCTGTGGAGACTCACTGCTAGGCAAATCCCCGCCTTATCTTAGCTCATTGGTCACCATAGCAACACCCACCCGTAGTATGCGCTCCAGCAGATATATCTCACTGGTCATCCCCAAAGCCAACACCTCCTTTGGCCGCCATTCCTTCCAGTTCTCTGCTGCTAATGACTGGAACGAACTGCAAAAATCTCTGAAGCTGGAGACTCTTATCTCCCTCACTAACTTTAAGCATCAGTTGTCAGAGCAGCTTACCGATCACTGCACCTGTACACAGCCCATCTGTAATTAGCCCACCCAACTACCTCATCCCCATATTGTTATTTATTTTGCTCATTTGCACCCAAGTATCTCTTTTTGCACATCATCTTCTGCACATATATCACTCCAGTGTTAATACTCAATTGTAATTATTTTGCACAATGGCCTATTTATTGCCTTATCTCCATAACTTACTACATTTGCACACACTGTATATAGATTTTCTATTATGTTATTGCCTGTATGTTTTGTTGTTGTTTTTATCGCACTGCTTTGCTTTATCCTGGCCAGGTCGCAGTTGTAAATGAGAACTGGCCTACCTGGTTAAATAAAGGTGAAATATATATCTAGTCTCCTGAGTGGCGCAGTGGTCTAAGGCACTGCATCGCAGTGCTAGCTGTGCCACTAGAGATCCTGGTTCGAATCCAGGCTCTGTCGTAGCCGGCCGTGACCGGGAGACCCATGGGGCGGCGCGCAATTGGCCCAGCGTCGTCCAGGGTAGGGGAGGGAATGGCCGGCAGGGATGTAGCTCAGTTGATAGAGCATGGTGTTTGCAACGCCAGGGTTGTGGGTTAGATTCCCACAGGGGGTATGAAAAAAAATAATGTAAGTCGCTCTGGATAAGAGCGTCTGCTAAATAATGTAAATGTAATATATATTTTTAAAGACCATGAATCTGAGCCATTTAGGTCCCTTCCATGGAGTTTCACACTTCTTCCTTTGTTGGAATGGAGAGTTGTGAATGAGTGGTGATGGCTACCAGGCTGTAGCCCCAGGGGGCTCCTACTGTAAGGAGCAGCCAGAGCAGAGGCCCCCTGGAGAGAGGAGTCCATCACAGGGTCATTACCTGCCCATGATGGGAATGAATAATACTTAGTGTGAAAATGAAAGACCCACCACCTCAACCCATGTTGTTTCTTCCTACTGTGTGTGTGTGTGTGTGTCTCCACTTTACTGGGTATATGGACTTTACCTCCTTGAAGTCAGTTGAACTAAATTGATCAAGAATACATTGGAAATTAACCCAGCTTGCTGCACATCAGCTGAACTTTCTCTGTTGCTGGAATACCACCTGTAAGGCTACAGCGGAAATGATCAGCCTGATCTTGACACCTAAAGGATTCCTGTGGAGACTACTAGATAGGCTATGGTACTTGCTGGGTCCAGAGCCCTCCATGAACACAGAGTGGGAAGGAGACTGGAAGGGTCACCAACGTTTATACTGAGCAGGAATGACTACGTCTGTTGTGAGTCTTCATTTAGCTAAATAAATATTCAGCTATGCAGAATTGTAATGGAACACTGGGTTAAGCTTTTACCTCAGAAGGTAGAAATGGGTGGGGAAGGGTGGACAAGTAGCATAGCTCAACTGGTAAAGAATGGTAAGGTTTGATGAAGGACTGACAGACAGACAGTCATGAGATGTGCGCTCACCTGGACTCTCCCTGATTTATCACCATGTACATCTCCCAGGAAGGGTCCTCAGCGATCGCCCCATGGGGTACCAGCAGGCTGACTCCTGCAAGACACAAAAACAGAGTCAACAACAACAACAACTAGGGTTGGGCGGTATCCAGATTTTCATCCCGTCATACCGTTTCTGTACCATACGGGGGTACAGTGGAAATGCACACAAGGGGCACTATTTAAAAATAAATAATAATACAAAATAAAATAAATAATTATGCAGAAAACAATTTAGGCAACAGGGATCTTGATCCAGGAGGGAATTGAATGTCTCTGCTGTAACCAATAAGCTTGCTCTTGACATCTAGCCACTTAGCTAGCAGGTTAGCAAACCAAATGCATAGCTGGAGCCCTGAGCTGGATGCTATAAGCAGTGGCGTAGCGCAGTGACGCATAATATTACGGATAAACACAACCACACAGCTTCAAAGCACAACACATCTATTAGAAACGATGCCATTTACCTTGTACAATCTGAGAATACATCAAAACAAGACACATACAATGCATAGAAATCCTGTCTGGAACCTTACAAAAGATTAGCAGGAGACTGGGGCATAGTAGAAGATTCAATATTTACATTTTAGTCATTTAGCAGACGCTCTTATCCAGAGCGACTTACAGTTAGCGAGTGCATACATTTTTTCATACTGGCCCCCCGTGGGAAACGAACCCACAACCCTGGGGTTGCAAGCGCCATGCTCTATCAACTGAGCTACATGGGGCCACATAATTACAAATAATTTGTAGACTGCAAAATGACCGCAAGAAGCCCAAACATATATCATATTTGACTAAAACTTAATAATTTCAAACCTCCCTTACATTTGTATAGGATCAAATGTCTCTTATGCGTGGGAATACTTTGGAACAGATTTCCAAAAAAGTAAAATCAATATCTCTATAAACAGGAAGTGTTTTGTCGTCCCCCCGCCTGCCATCTCCCTTCTCGCAATTCAACTAGTTAGCTTTCATTAAACCAACACCTGCCGCCTTGTCAGACGTTTTACTGGTGATGGCTGTATAGGAGCCCTCCAGGACCTCTTAAATCATCAGCGTGACAGGGAACATCGTAAGCCAAAAGGAATAAACTCACATCTCACATAAGAAACGTTTGAACATCATCAGTTAACATCCCACAGGAGAGACCGATGTCTAATATTGTATTGAAGGTTGTCTGTGTGTGCGTGTGCATGCGTGTGATCACTTGTGCTTGAGTGTGTAGGATATGTATCCACCCTGAAAGAAGAGACTGGCAGTTAGTGATAAGTGTTGGCCATGTATGGCTGTCCATTGAGCGTTGTTAAAAGTACTGTAGATTGGAGGTGTGAGTGATCCACTTGACCGCTGAGTCTCTCCACTCACACAGCCAGGAGACTGAAGGAGCCTGATTTCACTGTGCCTCTCCAGCAGAGCCGAGGGCCCTACACACACACACACACGAGGGCCCAGGAGAGAGATGTCAGAGCTACAGTTCACATGGAACTGTTGACCCTGACAGCTGTGGCAGTCCTCATAACAAACTTGTAGTCAGGGTTTATGGTAAGAGGCCTGACCCCTGTTTGCCTGGGAGAGCTGGTGGGAATGTATAGCAGGGTACCCAATTGTATTTTTATTTTTTATTGTTGGACATAAAAGACTGTAAAAACACCAGCAGATCAGCTCCAAGTGATTTTACTTTTTTAGAAATCTGTTCCAAAGTATTCCCACACATAAGAGACATGTGATCCTATACAAATGTAAGGGAGGTTTGAAATTATTACGTTTTAGTCAAATATTATATCTGTTTGGGCTTCTTGCGGTCATTTTGCAGTCTACAAATTATTTGTAATTAAGTTCCGGCCCCCTGACCATCAGCTCAAGAAAAAAATCGTCCTGCGGCTGAATCTAGTTGAAGCACAGTTCCTGCTCAGCCCAGTCAAAGCTATTCGCTGCTCTGGCACCCCAATGGTGGAACAAGCTCCCCCACGACCCCAGGACAGCGGAGTCACTGACCACCTTCCGGAGACACTTGAAACCCTACCTCTTTAAGGAATACCTGGAATAGTATAAGAGTAATCCTTCTACACCCCCCCCCATAAAAAAATGTGGTTGTCCCACTGGCTATCATAAGTTGAATGCACCAATTTGTAAGTCACTCTGGATAAGAGCGTCTGCTAAATGACTTAAATGTAAATTATCCCTGATGTAGAGGAATAATAAACATCTATACTAGGTCGCTGTACTGTTCCTACCTGGGAAACAACATGGATGAATCCTACAGTACTGTAGCATCATGCGTTAGACTCTAGAGAGATTAAAGGACCTGGTCTGCGTCCCAAATGGCACCATACTCCCTTTATAGTGCACTACTTTTGACCAGGACCCATAGGGCACTGTGTAGAGAATAGGGTGCCCATTTGGTATGAATCCCTGGTTTCACTAGCCATGACATATTTACTAAGCCTACCTTTACTTTGAATTAGTCACGTGTGTGCATGGTTTTGCTAAACTGAGAACTTCATTTTCTCTTAGAATAGAAAATTCTGAACAAATGCTATAATGAGACAATACCATCAAAGAGCAGTCAACCCATCTGTCTTTATAAATCATGTACTGTACCTCACCAGTATTTGGCAACACCAACTGTATAATTCTGCTTCAAGCACAGCTTCAAGTGTAATTCAGTGTCTTTAAACACATGTAGCTCACCAGTATTTGGCACCACCAACCGGCCGCCCAGATGCCCAAACACGCCCGTGATTCTCAGCTGATCTTTGGTGGGGTTGAGGGGGGGGCCGTTGGGGGTGAGCGGGCCCTTCTTGGTGCTCCGTCTCTCCACAGTGCTGTTGCTGTAGTCTCGGTTCAGCCCTCTGGGGAAGGTCTCGGGCTGATGGCCTTTGGCAGCGTGGTACTCAGCGCGGTCGTCCACACCTAGTGAAACCATAAAGGAGCTCTGAACTTTGACCTTGATGTCTGGCAGGGGGTCAAAGAGCTCTTTGTTGTCTATGGAGTCCTGGAAGCAGATGGGGCTGGTATAGGTCCCGCCCACTGTCCGGTCTGGCTGCAGAGAGGAGTTGAGAAGCAGTGGGTTCCCTAGAGAGATGACAGATGCACACAGCCACATAGTCATTCAGTCATCTAAAACACCAAGCTCTCTCTGCAGGAGCCATAGGTTGAAGTCAAGTGCACTGAGCAATCTCTGTGAACTGATGGAAAACAGGCTTTTAGTGTGAATAAGATGCCAAGATAGTTGACCAACACAGAGTTACAGTACAGGTAAATAACCTGGATGTGAGATACTGTAGCTATCCAGGCCAGGCTGAGCCATAGTCACTGGTCAGAGGTAAATTTAATTACCAAGCATACACAGCTTGATCTCCATGATCCATCTGTTGGAGTTGGAGTCAGTTCCTCTCTGTACACAGACTCACCCTCCTGGAGGACACAGTCATTCTCTGTCTGTGGGCACAGCACACGGCTGGGGCTGTGTGTGTGTGTGTGCGCGTAAGTGTGTGTGTGTGGCTGGGAAGGGGCTGAGGGGTCTGTGATGGTGACCGTCCTGTAAATGAGGGGAGTCCTTCAGCTCACAGCATGGACTCAACAGGCCAAGGATGGGCGTCTTCAGCCGCAGCCATTAGACGCCTAGCCACACTACCAAACACAGGACTCCCTGTGCCAAGATAACAGCGGAGTGAAAAAGTCATTGCTGCCCAGCTGCTGCCTGGTGAGGGGTGGAAGGCAGGAGGCTAATGTTGTTTTATTTTTAGGGAAATCGTTAATTACTGGAGGGCTTGATTCATGCTGTGCTTCAGGGTGTATTTGTTTCCACTGTTAGACTAACTAGAGGGTATTCAGGGTGTTTGTTTCCACTGCTAGACTAAATAGAGGGTATTCCGGGTTTGTTTCCACTGTTAGACTACCTAGAGGGTATTCAGGGTGTTTGTTTCCACTGTTAGACTACCTAGAGGGTATTCAGGGTGTTTGTTTCCACTGTTAGACTACCTAGAGGGTATTCAGGGTGTTTGTTTCCACTGTTAGACTACCTAGAGGGTATTCCGGGTTTGTTTCCACTCTTAGACTACCTAGAGGGTATTCAGGGTTTGTTTCCACTGCTAGACTAAATAGAGGGTATTCCGGGTTTGTTTCCACTGTTAGACTACCTAGAGGGTATTCAGGGTGTTTGTTTCCACTGTTAGACTACCTAGAGGGTATTCAGGGTGTTTGTTTCCACTGTTAGACTACCTAGAGGGTATTCAGGGTGTTTGTTTCCACTGTTAGACTACCTAGAGGGTATTCAGGGTGTTTGTTTCCACTGTTAGACTACCTAGAGGGTATTCCGGGTTTGTTTCCACTCTTAGACTACCTAGAGGGTATTCAGGGTTTGTTTCCACTGCTAGACTAACTAGAGGGTATTCTGAAGCGGAGTGATGCTCCTCGTAACTTCATCGTCTAGTGTAGTGCCTGAAAATGATGAGTGCAAAATGTAACTATGTTAAAAGCTTTTGCTCTGCAATCAAAAACAGAGGATATAATGGGAAATGTTAGATTTAAGGGAACTGATCTGAAGAAATGGAGCAGTGTGAAATAAGAGCATTCAGAAGTAATTTTTTGTTACTGATTGGTAGTGATTTGTTACTGATTGGTAGTGATTTGTACTGATTGGTAGTGATTTATTACGGATTGCAGTAGACAGAATAGGACTCAAGAAAATTCAGCTGCACATGCCATGGACAGATAGATAATGCATTTCAGTGGACATTGCTTAAGATTTCAACCTTGACATGTGAACAGCCATGTACATTTTCTTCTTCTCAGTGCAGTGGAGAAAAATCGGATTATCGCTTGAGTGTGGATCTTTAAAATGGTGGAGCAAAATGGAATTGCGGAGGAGGTTGGATGAGAGAAGTTAATGAAATGGACCTCACGTTGAATACCTTGAGGGATAGGTTTGGAATTGGACCTCTGATTAAAAATCCTTCACAGCCAGCTATAATGCAGGGAGACAGGTTCAGACCTAAAGACTCTCATTCACCACTCCGACTTACACCTTGTCATGGTAGGAGCGATCTGAAGCATTTAAGCGCTTTTTTAAAGCAATCACAAGGCACGAAAAGCTACTGATTTCCTATAAAGAACGCACTTGAGTAAAGCTATGTTTTTCTCTCAATGCGTATTACCGGACGTTATTGTGATTGTGGAAAATCAACCTGAATAAGGTAGACTGGAAAAATAACAGATCAGGCATAATAAAATACATGCTATTCATTTTTTTTTCTCTAGAAAAGAAGAATCCATAGCTGAAATGAGAAAGCAGAGAATATGAGCTATATTTCAGAGGCTCATTTAGCAGGCTGACGGAGAGGGGAATAGAAGAATGGAGTGATGGTGGCCGGTGGAGGGCACAGCAGGCGGCTCCTGAAAACCTGGCCTATTTAAATACGATTGATGGCCTGCTGGATGTAGCCCGGCACAGTCCCCCAGCTATCCCCTCCCTGGCGCGTGGTGAGGGGCACGCGTGACTTCCCAGGCCTTGGGATCATTGGATGTACATGGCTCCGGCAGGGCTTTTCACAGTGCTGTCACAACTAGACAGAATTTATCACCCGCCGCTGTGATGGCTATCACTTGTGCTAACCCAGAGGTGTCACTGACAGTAATATGAATGCCTGTAGCAAGGCTGCCTGGGACAAGCCACAGCCCCAGACACTGTTATGAACAGAAATAATTGCTGTGCACAACAAAAATTGAATTGATGTTCACTATTCCATGCTTTTCACATTTATCCATCAGTGGATTTGGCTGGGGCTATCTGACGGCAGGGAAGGGCGTTTGGTTGCTTGACAGTCAAGTGTGTGTGGTCTGCAGCCAGGGGGACACAGGAAGTGTCGATTGATAACCTATGTCCGCAATAACAGAGGAGCTGGTCAGTCAAAATAGAAGGACAGATCCTTTCAGCGATTACGATAATATAAATCCTAGGCAGATGTGCAGGGTAATGCACCGTGCCGCCACCGTGCCGCCTCAATGCAAACACATGCAATCTATCACCAGCAGCGGCAGCATGCCTAAAGGGACCTTGACAAACTCCTGCCTGCTGTTTGGCATTGTGTGCGACAGGGCATGTCTCCATAAAGTGAAAGGCAGTGCTAGCTCACCTTGTCTGGTGGTCTTGAAGTTGAAAGACTGGAAGCCCCCGGTGAGCGCGGACGAGTCGATGACGTCAACGCCGTAGTCGCTCTGGTTCTTCCGGTACAGCATGACGGCCACCACAAGGACAGTCACAGCTATGATCCCCGCCCCCAGCCCAGAGTAAAGAGCCACGTCGTTGGAGCCGTCCATACCTGGTACACCCACAGACAGATGCACAGAAACAACAGTCTCACTGGATGTATGCTTAGCGTAAACAGTAATGTGTAAGAAGCTTAACTAAGTCAGCGTAAAGAGACATTGAAAAGGGACATGAAAGAAGGGTTATGGTGGTGATTCTAATGTGGTGAAATTCTTGGGCATCTCAAATATTAGATGACATGTTCTACAGTATCCTGTATCTACAGTACTGGTTTTTGCATTGTTTTAAGGAGCTTTTGGAGAGTGAATTCCTTTTAAAGCACTGTGTAGAGCAGTGTGCTGGCTGTCCATCTCAACATACCCTACACTGCTGTTACACAAGACATTCATAAAGCTGTTAACAGTGAGATTGAGGGGGGTATAACTGCTATCAGATACACTAGTCTATATCCAATAAGTCTAATGGTACATAGTATGACCCAATGGTCACCGTCTGACAGTGACAGGAAATGATCCGAGGCAAATTAATTTATAGGAGCTCCGCTAGTATGATCACTCACCAAATGTCTGTCTCCCCCATCTAGAATTCTCAACTCAATGGTTTGACCCAGAATGTGTTGCAAACCCAGGCAACAACCACCCAAGCACACATTATGTGATTGAGCCTGTGTCAGCCTAATGAAGGCTCATTACAGACACTGTTGCAGCTCCAGTCAAGGTAGCGCCTGACAATCATTTCAATAGGTGTCAGGCGGTATATGCAAGGGGGAGAGAGCATCTGAGCTGAAACCCACCAGGGAATACAAGTGAGGAATCACTGCAAATTGGTCAAATTAGCTTGTTTGCAATAATTACACTCCATTAATCATCTACAACATAGCACATGTTCAGTTGTCACAAGAGATCAATCCAAGAAGGAAAGCCTGTTGTGATGTCACACTCGTGAAGAGTGGACAGTTGAGTGATAGAATGGTAGAACCTGGTTCCAATTCTGTTCAGAACCTGAGTTTTTGTGATGGGTGTGATGGCTGTGTAAAATGCAGGTAAATTAAAGTTAACCAAATAGGTAGGTGTCGAAAATAGGTGCTCATAACAAAAAAATGCTAATACTTTGATTCTGGACCCTGAACTTTCATCTAGTGACAATTTGGTCATTGTTATGGCTCACAAATTAGGTCAAGAGTTGGGGGTTGAAGATAAAAGAAATGCAGAAAGGAAGGACTCACTTTGAGGTTTAACATCATGCAGCAGCTTTCCATCTGCAAAGACAGAGAGAATGAGAAAAAGAGAGAGAGAGAGAGAGCGAGACACACACAAGGTGATTAAACACCAGCCCTGGTTGTGTCCCAAATGGCGCCCTATTCCCTTTATAGTGCACTACTTCATTACAAAAGTAGTGCTCTATAAAGGGAATAGGTTGCCATTTGGGACGCATACAGAACGAGGTGATTAAACGCCAGCCCTGTGTGAGTGAGGTATCCTACTAGTGCACTTCTTTCAATCATGTGGAGATGCCCTACCACTGAGATCTACAGATACAGACTGCCCAGGTAATGATGATCATTACCAGACTTCTATCTACTGGCCATGGGAGAGATTGGCAAATAGGTCTGAAAAATACTTTGATTATGACCATCTCTCTCCTTCACAAGGAGGAAAATAAAAGCTTCAAATCTTTTTTGAAAATGTATGATGACCAATGGAAAATTGGAGCGTACCAATGCTTATTTTGTACCGAACTAGCCCAAAATAACAATCCTACTTTGCAAAACATACTGGTGGCTCTTTCATTCATCAGATAGATAGGATACACACTGTATATACAGCATATATACACAGTGCATTCGGAAAGTATTCAGACCCCTTGACTTTCTCCACATTTTGTTACGTTACAGCCTTATTCTAAAATGGATAAAATTATTTCCCCCCCCCCCTCATCAATCTACACACACTACCCCATAATGACAAAGCAAAAACAGGTTCAGACATTTTTGCAAATATATAAAATAAAATAAACTGAAATATCACATTTACATAAGTATTCAGACCCTTTACACAGTACTTTGTTGAAGCACCTTTGGCAGCGAGTACAGCCTCAAGTCTTCTTGGGTATGACGCTACAAGCTTGGCACACCTGTATTTGGGAAGTTTCTCACATTCTTATCTGCAGATCCTCTCAAGCTCTGTCAGGTTGGATGGGGAGTGGCGCTGCACAGCTATTTTCAGGTCACTCCAGAGATGTTCGATCGGGTTCAAGTCCGGGCTCTGGCTGGGCCACTCAAGGACATTCAGAGACTTGTCCTGAAGCCACTCCTGCGTTGTCTTGGCTGTGTGCTTAGGGTCATTGTCCTGTTGGAAGGTGAACCTTTGCCCCAGTCGGAGGTCCTAAGCGCTCTGGAGCAGGTTTTCATCAAGGATCTCTCTGTACTTTGCTCCGTTCATCTTTCTCTCAATCTTGACTAGTCTCCCAGTCCCTGCCGCTGAAAAACATCCCCAGAGCATGATGCTGCCGCCGCCATGCTTCATCGTAGGGATGGTGCCAGGTTTCCTCCAGACGTGACGCTTGGCATTCAGGCCAAAGAGTTCAATCTTGGTTTCATCAGACCAGAGAATCTTCTTTCTCATGGTCTGAGAGTCCTTTAGGTGCCTTTTTGGCAAACTCCAAGCGGGCTGTCATGTGCCTTTTACTGAGGAGTGGGTTCCGTCTGGCCACTCTACCACAAAGGCCTGGTTGGTGGAGTGCTGCAGAGATGGTTGTCCTTCTGGAAGATTCTCCCATCTCCACAGAGGAACTCTGGAGCTCTGTCAGAGTGACCATGGTTCTTGGTCATCTCCCTGACCAAGGCCCTTCTCCCCAGGTTGCTCAGTTTGGCCGGGCGGCCACCTCTAGGAAGAGTCTTGATGGTTCCAAACTTCTTCCATAATAAGAACGATGGAGGCCACTGTGTTCTTGGGGACCTTCAATGCTGCAGACATTTTTTGGTACCCTTCCCCAGATCTGTGCCTCGACACAATCCTGTCTCGGAGCTCTACGGACAATTCCTTCGACCTCATGACTTGGTTTGTGCTCTGACATGCACTGTCAACTGTGGGACCTTATATAGACAGGTGTGTGCCTTTCCAAATCATGTCCAATTAATTGAATTTACCACAGGTGGACTCCAATGAAGTTGTAGAAACATCAAGGATGAGCAATGGAAACAGGATGCACCTGAGCTCAATTTCGAATCTCATAGAAAAGGGTCTGAACACTTATGTAAATAAGGTATTTCTGTTTTTTAGGGTATTTTGGGTGAATAGATTGATGAAGATTTTTATTTTTTAAAATTCATTTTAGAATAAGGCTGTAGCATAATAAAATGTTGAAGTGAAGGGGTCTGAATACTTTCCGAACGCACTGTGAGATATATATATATATATACATACATACATACATACATACATACACCCACACTGCCGTTCAAAAGTTTAACTAAAGTTTAACATATTGTTTAACATATTAATTCAATTACCTCGACTAACCGGTGCGCCCGCATATTAACTCTGTGCCGGTACCCCCTGTATATAGCCTCGCTATTGATATTTTACTGCTGCTCTTTTATTATCTGTTACTTTTATTTCTTATTATTTTTAATTTATTTGGGGGGGGGGGGGGGGGGTATTTCTTTGGTATTCTTTCTTAAAACTGCATAGTTGGTTAAGGGCTTGTAAGTAAGCATTTCACTGTAAAGTCTACACTTGTTGTATTCGATTAGATGTTCAGGAGTCATATGGCTTGGGGGTAGAAGCTGTTTAGAAGCCTCTTGGACCTAGACTTGGCGCTCCGGTACAATTGAGTAGACAGTGTGTAACTCTCAATATTTAATTCAAAACCTCTCATTGTGCAACATTCATGAGAGTTCATCATATTATGGGTGCGGGTGATGCATTCGATGAAATTGCACGTTACAGAATTGCTTTGACAACTGTGGTCAAAACCTCAAATCTGTGGTCAAAACTGAATGCACCCTCCATGTCTTCAGTGATAGCTACGCTCTCGTGACACAGGGGGATGTTTCTTATGAACACCACAGGAGGGTTTACCATAGTGTTATCATGCACTGAGGACTTCATTTCAGTGTGTGTATTCGTCCAACAAATACCTCTGTGGCTAGCTGTTCAGACGTGTTAATGACGGGTCCTGTTGTGATCAGTGTAATGGAGATATGGCTTATGGAGATGACAGTGAAGGACCGCAATCTAGAAACAAAAGAGAAAGGAGTAAGGCACTTACTCTGGGTACACATTCCTTCGGTGCAGTTCTCTGTGGCGTCACTGGGCCCATCACACATCTTGCCCTTGTGTCTGGGTGGTGGGTCATTGCACTCCCTCCTACGCTGTCTCTCACACTGCACACTGCACAGCGTCCACTCGCTCCACTCCTCCCAGCCACCGTCAACTGTGGATGAGGAAATGGAACACGAGCACAGAGAGAACAGAAGGTGAGGCGGTGGTCCATCTCACTCCACATTAACCCTCAGATTCTTGTCACATAATGGGATCGCTCTTCTTTCTCTCTGCAAAATGTGAAATTAAACTCCTTGATGTAGCCGTGCATGTTTATACCCGGGTTCCTCTGTTGTCTGCGTCATTTGATCTAGGAGGAACCCATCATGCTCAGATAACTAATATTGGTAGACCATATGGTGCCAAAAGAGATTTCTAGGCAGAGCTTTGCAGAGACCGTAATCCGTCTCTATGCACAATCTCTGGAGAACTAAGCAATTTCTTTTGTAGCGTTCCATGAGTTCCATAAGCACTCTGCACTACATTCTCTCACAGTTTTCTTCCCAGCTAATTTAAATGCAAATGTATGCCTTTATATGGTGCAGAGAATACAAAGTGCGTTTGGGTTGACCATGTTAGTGCATGCATAGTGCTCTCACCAGATAGCTTCTTCCCTTCCCTGAGAACTATTACAAACTATTGTCTGGGACAGGAAGACACAGAAGAGATATATAATAACTAATTCAGACCACCATGGCAGGCATGCAGCAGCATACAACATACAGTGAGGTCAGGAATGATTATTATTCCTATTATTGGATCCCTTGGTAAAGATGAGCAAAAAATACTAAAATAAATCATACAAATACTGAGCTATATTGTAAGCTTTTATTTTTTTTAGAATTATATTATTTTATACTAATACTCAAAGTAAAAGATTTTGTTCAACAAGTAATACCAAAACAAAAATCTAAAAAAAGATAGGCGTCAAAATGATTGGATCCCCTGTTTTCAATACAACAATTCAATACAATACAATTAGGTTGCAGCACCTATCATCGCCAAGCCTATCTCTGACCTTTTTAACCTGTCTCTTGTCTCTGGGTAGGTTCCCATTGATTGGAAGGCAGCCACGGTGTATCCTTTATTTAAATGGGGAGATCAAGCTGATCCTAAGTGTTATAGGCCAATTTCTATTTTGCCCTGTTTATCAAAAGTGTTGGAAAAACTTGTCAATAATCAACTAACTGTCACGGATTCTGCCGAGGCTGCTCCTCCTCCTTGTTCGGGCAGGCTTCGGCGTTCGTCGTCCCCGGAGTACTAGCTGCCACCGTTGAATGTTTCTATGTTCGATTGCTTTTGTCTGTCTATTGCACCTGTGTCCGTTTGTGTCTGATTATGTGTTCTATAAGTTGCCTGTTTTGTATTGGTTAGGTTGTGTGTTGTTTTTCGCATGTCAGTTTGTGCTGCGTGTTTGCTCTGTTTGTTGTTTTGGTGTTTACGCACAGTTTTGCGTAATCGCTCGCCTCTGTGTGTTTTGAGGCCGTTTATTGTATTTTTTCCTAGTGGTTCACTAGTAAACTTTGTTGGACTAAGCTTCGGTGTCCTGCGCCTGACTTCCACACCACACTTACATCAGCCCTTGACAGAACAACACACCATTATGGAGTCAGCAGGAGCAGCGGCGGCACCCAAGTCGCTGGAGGATCGGATCAGCGACCAAGACACCATGATCCGGCAACTTGGGGCCGCCATGAACGAGGTGTCCAACACTCTACGCCGGTTGGTTACGGGAGAGGTGCCCACGCCTTCGCACACCTTACCATCACCATCGGCCAGTCCTCCTCTCCCAGCACCGGAACCCAGTGGCATTCGGCTCTCGCTCCCGAGGGCATATGATGGTTCTGCAGCCGGGTGTCAGGGGTTCCTCCTGCAGGTGGAACTATACCTGGCCACCATACACCCGGTGCCCTCGGGATACGAGAGCGTCTCCGCCCTCATCTCCTGTCTATCCGGCAAGGCGTTGGAGTGGGCCAACGCCGAATGGAGGGGAATAGACGCCGCTACCATCACCTACGCAGAGTTCTCCCGCCGCTTCAGGGCTTCATCCACCTGAGGGGAAGGCGGCGGGAGAGCGTCTGTTCCACCTCCGACAGGGGAAGAGGAGTGCACAGGAGTTCGCCCTGGAGTTCCGGACTCTAGCGGCGGATGCGGGGTGGAATGAGAGGGCCCTCATTGACCATTACCGGTGTAGCCTACGAGAGGACGTTCGTCGTGAGCTGGCCTGCAGGGACACCAACCTATCCTTCGACCAGTTGGTGGACATTTCCATCCGTCTCGACACCCTGCTGGCTACCCGCGGACATCCCGAGTGGGGGTCGTCCATTCCACCCTCCAGCACCTCCGAGCCGATTCCCATGGAGCTCGGGGGTGCTGGCGCTAGGGAGAGGAGGAGAGAGAACCCGAGGGGGGCCGTCCCCTGCACCAACTGTGGCCGTGGAGGACACACTGCGGCTAGGTGCTGGGGAGGGTCTCCTGGGAGAGGGGACAACAGGTCACGCACCGGGGAGTCATTTCAGGTGAGTAGGCGCCCCACTTACCCAGAGCTCTCTGTTGGTCACATGAGTATACCTGTGAGATTTCCACAGGTGGCACCTCATTCCCAGCATAAGGCGCTAGTAGATTCAGGCGCAGCTGGGAATTTTGTTGATCGTGAATTTTGTTATAGGCTAGGAATTCCCCTTCGGCCGGTAGAAGTCCCTTTTCCTGTTCATGCCCTAGACAACCGGCCGCTGGGGTCGGGGTTGATCAGAGAAGTCACAGCACCACTTAAGATGACGACGCAGGGGGGTCATGAGGAGATCATTCAGTTTTATCTGATCGACTCTCCTGCGTATCCCGTGGTGCTGGGGCTTCCCTGGTTAAGCGCCCATGATCCTACCATTGCGTGGCAACAGAGGGCTCTTATGGAGTGGTCTGCCCAGTGTGTAGGGAAATGTCTAGGTGTTTCCTTAGGGGCGACCTCGGTGGAGAGTCCGAACCAAGTGCCCGCAATGCGCATTCCCCCTGAATATGAGGATTTAGCACTTGTGTTCAGCAAAACTAGGGCAACACGGCTACCACCTCATAGACAGGGGGATTGTGCGATAGATCTCCAAACAGGAGCGGCACTTCCGCGGAGCCGTGTGTATCCCCTGTCTCAAGAAGAGACAGCGGCTATGGAGACTTACATAGCCGAGTCCTTGGCACAGGGATACTTCCGGTCCTCCACTTCCCCGGTTTCCTCGAGTTTCTTCTTTGTGAAGAAGAAGGACGGGGTTTGCGCCCGTGTATTGATTACCGTAGTCTCAATCAGATCACGGTTAAGTACAGTTACCCTCTTCCTCTGATTGCGACTATGACGGAGTCATTACGCGGAGCGCAGCTCTTCACAAAGTTGGATCTCAGGAGCGCGTACAATCTGGTGCGCATTAGGGAGGGGGATGAATGGAAAACAGCATTTAGCACCACCTCGGGTCATTACGAGTATCTCGTCATGCCATACGGGTTAATGAATGCTCCTTCAGTCTTCCAATCCTTTGTTGACGAGATTTTCCGGGACATGCATGGGCAGGGTGTGGTAGTATGCATTGACGACATCCTAGTGTACTCTTCTACCCGAGCCGAGCATGTAGCCCTGGTGCGCCGAGTATTGAGGAGGCTGTTGGAGCATGACTTGTATGTTAAGGCGGAGAAATGCCTGTTTTTCCAGGAGTCCATCTCCTTTTTGGGTTATCGATTGTCCGCGTCTGGTGTGAAGATAGAGGTTGACCGTGTGTCGGGCGTGCGTAATTGGCAAACTCCAACCACTGTAAAAGAGGTGCAGCAGTTTTTGGGTTTTGCTAATTACTACTGGAGGTTTATCCGGGGCTTTGGACAGGTGGCAGCTCCCATTACGTCCCTGCTAAAGGGGGGTCCGGTGCGTTTGCAGTGGTCAGCTGAAGCGGACAGGGCATTTGTTAGACTGAAGAACCTGTTCACTTCGGCTCCGGTGCTGGCGCATCCGGACCCCGCTTTACCATTTCAAGTTGAGGTAGACGCGTCCGAGGCCGGTATTGGGGCAATCCTGTCGCAACGGTCCGGCACGCCACCCAAGCTCCGCCCCTGTGCGTTCTACTCTAAGAAGCTCAGCTCGGCGGAGCGTAATTATGACGTAGGGGACAGGGAGCTGTTGGCTGTAGTCCAGGCCCTAAAGGTGTGGAGGCATTGGCTTGAGGGGGCTCAACACCCTTTCCTCATTCTGACTGACCACCGTAACCTGGAGTACATCCGGGCAGCTAGGAGATTGAACCCTCGTCAGGCTAGGTGGAACATGTTCCTGACCCGGTTTGTTTTTAAGATCACATACATCCCAGGGTCCCAGAACGGTAAGGCAGACGCCCTGTCCCGGCGGTATGACACAGAGGAGAGGTCCATCGAGCCTACTCCCATACTGCCAGAATCTTGTCTGGTGGCTCCGGTAGTGTGGGAGGTCGGTGCGGAGATCGAGCGGGCACTGCGTACAGACCCTACTCCCCCCGAGTGTCCTGTGGGGCGGACGTACGTTCCGCTCGAGGTTCGTGACCGCCTTATTTATTGGGCTCATACATCACCCTCCTTTGGACATCCAGGTATTGGCCGGACAGTGCACTGCCTTAGCGTGAAATACTGGTGGCCAACGTTAGCTAGGGATGTGAGGGTTTATGTCTCCTCCTGCTCGGTGTGCGCCCAGTGTAAGGCGCCTAGACATTTGCCCAGGGGAAAGTTACATCCCCTGCCCGTTCCACAACGACCATGGTCCCACCTCTCGGTGGATTTTGTGGCCAACCTTCCCCCCTCCCAGGGGAATACCACCATTTTGGTCGTTGTGGATCGGTTTTCCAAGGCCTGTCGTCTCCTCCCAATGCCGGGTCTCCCTACTGCCCTACAGACCGCTGAGGCCCTATTTACTCACGTGTTCCGGCACTATGGGGTCCCCGAGGATATTGTGTCTGACCGAGGTCCCCAGTTCACCTCCAGAGTCTGGGGGGCGTTCATGGAACGCTTGGGGGTCTCGGTGAGCCTTACCTCGGGGTACCACCCAGAGAGCAATGGGCAGGTTGAACGAGTCAACCAGGATGTGGGTAGGTTTCTGAGGTCCTATTGCCAGGGC